TTTGAATCGCATTTATTTGAACCAAATAAATCGTATTTGGTTCAATTAAATAATTAATTGAATTAAATAAATGAATTTATTTAATATAAATAATGAGTTACTTGAAACAATTCATTCATTTATTTAACTCAAATATTTCGTTTATTTGATACAAATAAAAAGTATTTGACACAATAAATTTATGTAATTGATTCAAATAAACTGAATTATTTAATACAAATAATTCATTATTTAATCCTGATACACTATTTCATCAAGACAAATAAAAAAATATTTCAATCGATTAATAATTTATTTGAAACGATAATAATGATTTACTTGAAACAATTAATTTATTTATTTCACTCAAATATTTCGTTTCATTGAAACAAATAAAATGTATTTGATACAATAACTTTATTTAATGGATTCAAGTGAACTAAATTATTTAATACTAATACACTATTTTATCAAGACAAATAAAAAAATATTGTAATCAATTAAATGTTTATTTGAAACGAAAATAATGAGTGCAAATATTAATTTATTTATTTCACTCAAATATTTCATTTTTTTGAAACAAATAAAAAGTATTTGATACAATAAATTTATTAATTCTAATTAATTAAATTATTTAATATAAATAATGCGTTATTTAATGTTAATACATTATTTTATTAAAGTAAAATAAAATATTTTGACCAATTAAATATTTAAGTGTAATGAGTTATAATGAGTTATTTGATACTATTCATTTATTTACCCGTGTGGAAAAAGCCACGATCTTGCCCTCAAGAGGGCTGATCCATATGGTGAATCCATGAGGGGCAACGTAGGGGCCCCGCATGGATCGCCCTCATGATCGATTAGCAAAATTTTCTAAGTCCAAAATTCAAATATTTTTTCATCAACAAAAACTGAATGTTTCCAATGATTCAGAACAACGAAAAACGCGTTTTTAATAAAAATATATTTACACTTTTTTTGAAAATTCACCTGAGATGATTCATGATAATAATCATAAAGCATATAATTAATTATATTTTATAAATTGCATTTGATTGGAAAATATAATTTAATATCTTAACTTTAACTAAATGATGTTAAGCACTTTTCTTTGTTAGGTATTTTTTAAGTTTAAATAGCATCAAGAAGTTAGCATTCGTTTTGAAGTAGCGTGCGTAGCGTAGTTGGTAAAGCGTTAGACTCATAGTCCGTAGGTCGTAGGTTCGATTCCCCCCATGCGTTAGATTTATTTATTTCTCAGGTTTGCGTTTAATCATTAATTCTATGTATGAATTAATTGAAAAATGAAAATATCCGTTAATAGTATGCATAAATTACATATTTTTTAATTTTTTAATTAATTAATTTATTATTACTTTTAATTATATCCGATAGTTAATTAATTAGAACGTTAATTAATAAATTCAATTTGAGTAAGAATTTAATTTAAAATTGAATAATTATTAAATAAATATGTTATTTATTCATAACTTAAGCTTATTTATTATTAATTAACTTTTATTATTAATAATATTATTGATTAAAAACATTATGGCAAACTTGAGGGCAAGATGAGGGCAAACGTGAGGGCCCATAAGGGCACCCTCATCGATGAGCATGTCGTTTCCATGAGGGGCCCCTATGGATCATCCACATGCGCCCCTCATGGCATGAGGGCGATCCATAAGGGCCCCCACTGGGGGCCCACATCACTTTTCCACACGGGTATATATATTATTTAATATTCTAAGTCCAAAAGTCAAATATTTTTTCATCAACAAAAAATTAAAGTTTACAATGATTCAAAACACCGAAAAACGCGTTTTTAATAAAAATATAGTTATACTTTTTTTGAAAATTCACATGGGATGATTCATGATAATAATCATGAAGCTTATAATTAATTATATTTTATTAATTGCATTTAATTGGAAAATATAATTTAATATCTTAATTTTAACTAAATGATGTTAAGCACTTTTCTGAGTTAGGTCTTTTGCAAGTTTAAATGACATCAAGAAGTTAACATTCGTTTTCACGTAGCGTGCGTAGCGTAGTTGGTAAAGCGTTAGACTCATAATCTGTAGGTCGTAGGTTCGATTCCCCCCATGCGTTAGATTTATTTATTTCTCAGGTTTGCGTTTAATCATTAATTCTATGTATGAATTAGTTGAAAAATGAAAATATCCGATCATTATTATTTATATTTGAGTAAGAATTTAATTTAGAAATGGAAGAATTAGTAAATAAATATGTTATTTATTCAATTGAAATTTTGATTTATTTGAATCAAAAAATTCTTACATTTTATGCAAATAAATTATGTATTTGGATCAAATAAAATAATAATTGCCGCAATTAAAGAGGTTTTAGTTTCAATTAAAACAATTACTTATGACAAATAATCGAATATTTGATTCAAGAAAATTTTTAATGAGAATAATGAGTTATTTGATACTATTCATTTATTTATATATATTATTTAATATTCTAAGTCTTTTTGTCTTTTTGTTTCGAGAAAAATATTTTATTAATGCAAATAAATATTTATTTGAATCAAAAAACATGCAGTATTGAATGAAATAATTTTCATATTTGATTTAAATAATTGTTTATTAGCATTCAATATTCCATTTATTGGATTTGAATATTTTGTATTTGATTCAAATAACTATTTATTTGATACGATAAAATAAAATACTTATGTCTAGTAAATATTTATTTGAATGGAATAATTTTCATAATTGATTCAAATAATTATTTATTAGCTTGATAATAATCATTTATTTGATTTGAATATTTTGTATTTGATTCAAATAACTATTTATTTGATACGATAAAATAAAATACTTAGGTTTAGTAAATGTGTATTTGGTTCAAATACATATTTATTGGATAATAGACAAGTAAATGATGTATTTGGATCAAATACTTTTTATTTGATACAAATAATTTTTTTTTCAGTGTAATTAGTTTTACAAGGATAAATTTATTTTAAGTTAGTTAAAAAATTTCTGAAAAATAAAAACGAAAAATTGCTTATTTTTATTTAAAAATTCATAAGTTATTTAAATTTTAATATGACTTTAAAATTTAAGGTTATACTCTTGATGTATTATTCTTTAAGAAAAAAAAATACCACAACACTTGCAAAAAGGTATTTATTTTGCAGAATAATGTGACTTTTTAGTTTAAAATCTTCTATTATATTAAAATCAAAATTCCGAAATTTTGTCGAAATTTACGAATTTTTGTTTTTTTTTCTCTATTTTTTAACCGTTTCTTTTTATATCGCTATGTCTAATAGATTTCATGGAAATCTATTAGAAAAATCGTCATAATACTGGTTTTTTATCCTAATATGTTTTTTATTCGAATTTCACGGTTTTCGTGGACAATTTCAAAATACAAAACAAACATTTTAATATAATAGAAGATATTTGAAAAATTTTGAAATAACGATAACTTTTAAAAAAGTTGTAAATTCAAATGTTGATTACATGAACATTTTGCTTCCTCTTTACGATCAGCAAAAAAATTTGCTTCCTCGTGGAGAAAGCATTAACATTCAAATAAACATACATAAATAATATGATAATATAAACATTTGTGTACCTACACATTTGAGTTAAATTAAAAGAATTAATGGAAGTTAAAAAATCAAAAATTCCCATTTTAGCCGAAATTTCTAAATATTAATGAAAAATAATATATAATTTATAATTATTTACAATTATATCGATTTGTTGCAATGCAAGGAACACTATTATTTTATATTTAAACTTGAATTTAAATAAATACAAAAATTTTCAGCTAAAATGTGAATTTTTTATTTTTTAACTTTCATTAATTTATTAAATTTACCTCAAATGTAAACTTTATATATACTAATCGATTCGTTTTCATGCAAGGAATACAATTAATTATTTTCAATACCAAAATTCAGAAGGCAGCGCTACAAATAATCAGCAGCGCCTTTTAAGTAACATATTATTTGAAAAAATTAATTAATATCACAAATCATATTTTTATTTAATGTAAATATTTTTAATAAACAAACAAAGGCAGACAAAAAATTATAACAGCATATTAATAATATAATATAATAATAAAATATCTATTATTATGTTATTATTATACAAAAACAAACATCGGTTGTAAATATTTTTTACATTTTTATATTTATTTCTTAACCGTTACATTAAACGTAAAAACGGAACGAAATTTTATAAATTCAGTACCTATCATATGGTTAAACTTCACCCGAGCGTCCATTAGCGAGCGAGGAATACGTCGCTAGTTAAAAATTATAATTATTAATGGGCCAAACCACTGAAAATCATCTGAGAGTGATTGCTGGCTTATTTTTAAAAAATCTAGTTTTAATATTATGTGAAACTAGTTGAACGTGATTTCGCAACCTTAAATGTTGCACTTTTTTTGGAAACGTTGTTATTCAAAAACTACCAAATATTACATATTACTATTAACCGGAAACATAAATCAATTTATTCTACATCAAAAAATGATTAAATTTTTATATAATTATTGTATTTTAAGATAATTATTAATTCGTATTTGAAAATTTGTTGAGTAAAAAAATTTCACAATATTTAGAAGCTTATAACTGTTTTCTGGGTGCTTCAAAAAATTTGGGGCTTCGCGCATATTTTAATATTTATATAATTTACGTGCTATGAAAATTTGGTGAGGGTATTTTGCTTCGTTTCGAAATTAATAAATTTGTCAATTAAAAGGGTTAGTTCTATGACTTGAAGTTGACAAAAAATTTCACATTTCTCTCTTTTTTTATGAGAATAGAAAGAGATGTTAAACTTTAAAGACATAGAATTAACTCACATAATATTAAAACTAGACTTTTTAAAAATAAGCTAGCAGCTACTCTCAGATGATTTTCAGTGGTTTGAAGCTAATTTATTCTTTTGTATCAAATTAGTTGTATCAAAAAACTTGAAAAAATGAATGTTTATTATTAAAAAATAATAATGTTTAAGGGAGGACCATTGATGTTGGATTCTCAGCAACTACGACAAATGGAACAACAAGAAATACAAAAACAGTTAGCAAGTGTTCCACCTTCAATGAATATGCTTCCTCCTCAATTGATTGGAATGACGCCACCCATGCAAAATCAAAACAATTTTTCTCCTCAGATGGAGACTCAAAAGTCATCACTACCCAGCCTCTTAACAATGAAAATAACGCCTCCTACTGAAATACCTAATCAAGCTGATCAAGTTGATAAGGTATTAGATCCTTCGACGATGAAATTACCCGCTGCTCTTGAACAAGCTCTTGCTTTTAAAAATGAACGGGCAAAAGAAGTTGGTGGATCAGAATTTGATCAATTAAATACAGACATTTCTCGCGAAACAATTATTTCAGATGATATGACAGTTTTGGATGATTTAATTCTTGAAACTGAAACCATTTTTGAAAAGAGCGATACACGTTTTAATAAGGTAAAGAAGAAGAAAAAGAAGAAAAAGAAAAAGCATTCTAATGAACAGAATAGATTAGATGAAGTGAATAAAGAGTTATTAATTAATGCAAGTTCAAAAGAAAAAATAATGCCTGAAATTGAATATGTTCAAGAAGTTCCTGGTATTGAAGATTTAGAACCTATGTATAGGCAATTCGCAAGAGTTTTCGAAGCTTTTAAACTAACAGAACCTGAACCTCGAGTTAACGAAGATAAGGGTGAAACAATTGAACAATATCCACCACTTTCAGCCACCCCAGCTTCTTTAGTGCCTAGCAAAGCTCCACTTCTAGATGAATTTGATGAAGATGTTAACGCTCATCAACAACAACAGCAAGATGTTGGTGAAAATGGAACTCCAAGATTATCTAAAAGAAAATTAAAAAGATTAACGAGGTTAAGCGTTGCAGAGCTTAAACAACTTGTCGGTCGTCCAGATGTTGTTGAAATGCATGACGTAACTGCAAGGTGAGTTTTTTTTACTTACACAGAACAAGTCAAGTTTTATATTACCACTGATCTATTATCAGAAAACAATGTATTTTATTTATCGAAATTTATTACAAAAAGTATAAATTACTTCACTCGATAATTATAAATGATTAAATTATTATTACATATAAAAATAAATATATATAAAATTCTAGAAAGATCTCATAAATTTGAGGTTTTCCAAATATTTAAATGACAACATAATTAATTTAGTTTTTTAGCTCTTATGATGTTTAAAATAATAGGACCGTACACATAATACGTCACGCAGCTAAGGGGGGGAGGGGGTCCGAGAATCATGACGAATTGTGACATGGGGGAGGAGGGGGTAAGCTCGTGCGTTAAGTCACACTTTTTAAGTGTTTTGCGTGCAACGACCAAGATTGTTTTTAATTTTTGGGGTACATGTTATGGATATAACAATAAAAAAGAAATTATATATTTAAATTAAAATTTTATAAAAAATTATATGTGATGATCTCAAATATTATAAATAAAACAAGTTAAAAATATTTTAAACTATTTAACCTCTTCGCTGTGAGAAGCAAAATCTTAAATGTCAGTTGGTCCAAAATGTTAAGAAACTTTTATACCACCAAAATTGTTGAAACTGTATGCACTTAGGTTTTCGAGGTCACTGATTACGAATCTGAAGACCGTTTACAAAAATAAAAATGGCATATCCAATATGACGGACATATTTTTTTAAATTCGGTGGATTTTCTTGAAACACGTTACTCGGAGGGTTTTAGGGGTCGCTGATTACGAATCTGATATTAGTTTTTCAAAATTCAATATGGTGGGTCCAATATGGCGGACAAGAAAATTAAAAATCAATCGAATTTACTTAAAACTTATTACTCAGAGGTTTCCAGTGTCATCTAAATTCAAATTTAGATTTTAGAAATTAAAAACAGTGGATGAAATATGGCGAAAATCAATAATGTAAATATTAAATAAGAAAAATAACTATAAAATTCCACCCCCGCAATTAGCTAGTAAATAGTTTAACAGTTATCTACAACCCCAGAATGAACCACGCGTCGCAGCGATTTTGCTCCCATGTGGAACCGCTGTAATGTCTTATGTCTTATGCTTAAGTCTTATGTCTTAAGCCTTATGCTTAAGTCTTGAATATTAAGTCTTATGCTTAAGACTTAAATTGAGGGGCCACATGCAAGAACGGACGAGGCGTCTGGACTGAAAACTTTTCTATACCATAAGGAATAACTTTGCCGCTTGAAATTTTTCGTTGTTAACACTTTTTTGCATACTTTTTCTTCGCAAATAATAGAAGCCCAAAATTTTTGCGTTATCTCGTTGTTGGAGTTCTGTCCGAAGGCCTCGTCCGTTCTTGCATGTGGCCCCTCAATTATTTATTTGTTAAAAATTATCGTAAATATTGAAAATGACTCATTAGAAGCCACGAAACCCTAAGATGTAGGCGCTTTGCGCCTGCCTCTGGTACTGATTTTTAGGGTTTCGTGGCCCATGGCCGAAAGCCTTATAGTTTCACTTTGGCGTCCGTCTGTCCGTAGTATATTTTGGGGCACCACAGCTCCCAAAATCAAATTTTAGGGCACAGATCCTAAATTAAAATTTTGGGGCACCACAGATCCCAAATTAAACTTTTGGGGCACCACAGATCCGAAATTCAAATTTTGGGGCACCATAGCTCCCAAATTCGAATTTTGTGGCACCATAGCTCCCAAATTCGAATTTTTGGGCCCCACAGATCCCAAATTCGAATTTTGGGGCACCACAGATCTCAAATTCAAATTTTGGGGCACCATAGCTCCCAAATTGAAATTTTGGGGCACCACAGATCCCAAATTCGAATTTTGGGCAAACATAGCTTCCAAATTCGAATTTTGGGGCACCACAGATCCCAAATTCGAATTTTGGGGCACCATAGCTCCCAAATTCAAATTTTGGGGCCCAACAGATCCCAAATCTCCATTTACTGAATGGACATTTTCCCGAATGGACATTACATGTCCCATTAGTTAACATGCCCCTATAATTAACATGTCCCAGTAGTTTACCTGTCTCAGTAATTGACATGTCCCAATAGTTGACATGTCCATATAGTTGACATGTCCCTATAGTTGACATGTCTTAATAGTGGACATTATCGAATGGACATTTTACCTAATGTTTTTGTTTGTGAATCAAAAAAGATAAATGATAGAAGAAAGACCTCCACTCCACAGCCACGCTTTCTTTTTTCTTTCATTTACCTTTTTGAATTTTGATTTTGCCAATTTTTGATTTTCTTCGAATTTACTGTCTGGGGGAGAATTAATTTATAGAAATTAATATTTTATAATTTATAATTAATTTATAATAAAAATTTTGCTAAATAAATAAAATTTAATAGTACATAAAATTTATAAAATAAATTTTATTATTTATTTTTAAATTATTTATTTTTGATTTATTTTTTTTTAATTAAAATTTAAACCACCACGAAACCCTAGATGTAGGCGCAATTGCGCCTAGTTCTTTTCCTATTTTTTTATATTAAGTACTATTAGAAATACTTATACATTGAGAAAAATGATCTATTAAACTTAAAACTAATTTCCTGATAAATCAACTTCTTTACCTAATGGTTAAGAGAATCAGTTTTATTGTAAAAGGAATCTTTTAAACTTAAAAATATTAAAAGGTGACAAAAAAAGTGTAAAGAATAAAGGATGTAATAACATCAAAGGGGGAAATTGAACTAAAAATTCATTTTTTTCCATTTTTATTTTTTTTTTAAATATTTTAGTTTGAAAGCTGACATTTTTTCCCAAAAAATATGTAATTTCCAGGAGGGTCTTTTTTTATTTTCGAGTAATTAAAAAAAAAATTCACCTAGACAGACGCGCAACTTATGTGTCGTCCTGACTGCCAGTATATTCGTTCATGGTTTTCGCTTTAATTTTTTTTGGGATATCCGTTTTTGTCTCTTTTTTTGAATGAACTAAAACATGTTCCTGAACACTAGTAAATATTTTGTAGAAGCCAAAAAATGAAATTTACTAATGCAAATGAATATTGCAACATAAGTAGGAATGTTATATGACTGTAGGTGGTCGTGAACGACGCTTATTTAAAATTTTCGACCTCTCCCACACCCCTAATATTCTTACGAAAAATCATTGGTTATTTAACCGTCGCTGGTTTCCCCTAACTCATTAATCAAATTATTTTTACATTCTCATCATATAAGAAGGTTTTATGATTGGTCGAAATTTGACTTTTGAGTCGGAAATTCACTGTTTGGCGATGGCGTCTGTCTGTAGATCTGTGTGTTTGTGTGTAGACCCAAATGTTGTGGTCACAATAACTTTTGTAAAATCCAATAAATCGACTAGTCCTTTCGTATACATAAAGTTTGTGTTAAAGTGAAGGCTAAGTTCGTTAGACAGTCATTTCCGATCAAAAGTGAAAAATCACAGCATTTTCAATTTTTCTTTGTGAATTTTTTGTATTACGTTTTTGGATAGATTCCACTAAAAAATTAATGCTGGTAATCACACATATACGAAATGTATGTTTATTGTTTTCGTAATAGCGTAAAAGGTACAGTGAACAACACCTGTTATTAAAAACGATAATAACTAAATAGAAATAATACTATTGAATTAAATATCACTAGTAAATTTATTAATGTACGATATTTAGAAACTGATACAATTGACACAAAAATTTATATGTTTATATTTTCCCCAATATTTTACTATCTAGAAAACTGACCTCAAAAAATTTGTTTTATTGATTACAAACTTTATAAATATGAAGAAATTGTTAAATAATTATATTTTAAAAGCAACATTTTTTATAATTTAAATCTGAATAATAAAATTTGATAATATTAACCCCTTCGTTAGCAGAAGGAATTCGACAAAAAGTGCACAAAATGTACAGAAAATTTTTTTTTCCTGAAAATTGGTATCCAGAGGTTTTCGGGGTCGCTGATTACGAATTCGATGTTAGTTTTTCAAAATTCAAAATGGCGGATCCAATATGGCGGACTTTTTTTAAAAAATTGATTATATCAACTGCTTCCGTTCATATAATCGAACTTCAAATGTCAAAACTATATACTCGTAACTCGGACCTTAGTTTAATATGACCGTAGCTCATTTTTCGAATAATAAAATCGTATCTCAATTTCCATTTAATATAATGGTATCTTAGATTTTGATACATAACCATGTTTTCAAAAATATATTAAACAAGTAATCTTAAGGAAAGAATTTTTGTTTCTTCTTATTAAAAAAATTATCAATAATTTGTTTATTTTTTCGCCTATTATTATTTAAATATTTATTATATTATTTATTTAATTTTTTATTTAATAGTTTATTATTTATTTATTAGTTAAAAAAATAATTTCGTCAATGCATTACATATTATTACATTTTGTAGTATTTTTTCAATTTTTGTTGATTTATATTTCGTTGGATATTTTATGGATTAGATTTTTTTTTCTCCATTGTGTACTTTTACACATTTTTATAATTTTTTTCCAGCAAGCTTAAAAAATATTATGAGTATTAATTAAATTATTAAATTTTTTAGAAATAAATTAAATATTAAATTATTTATTGATAATTTAAATAAATATTTATGAATTGAATTTAAACCTTCTTTCTTAGAGTAGGAAAGTTTATTATATTTACACGTAAAAAAGAAAAAGAAAAAATAATTATTGTGATAAAATCGATATTTTTCTGTAATGAAAACTTAAATAACAATTATTATTATTTTTAAATCAGAGATTCGATTTTACTATTTGGAAAATGAGCTATATTTATATTAAACTAAGCTCCGAGTTACGATTATATAGTTTTGACATGTGAAGTACGATTATATGAACGAGATGCGTCGATTTTTGCTTGAAACTAACTACTGGGGGGTTTTCGAGGTCGCTGATTATGAATCCGATGTTAGCTTTTTAAAATTCAATTGTTAGATACAGT